CCCTACACGTTATATGGGTATCATCCTGAAAATGCTTAGAAAGCAGCTGGCTTACTGAATCTTGCTGTGACAAGTGCTGACAGACTGAAGAACAACAGTCAGAGAACCTGCCCTAAGGCAGGAGATGTGAATACAGCAGCAGCAGATGGTTCTGTTTCTACTGCTCAACTCATGTCCACTGATAACTGGACTTGGAGAGGTGTCCAGAAATACAGTTTTACTTGCCATAACATTTCAGACATAGAAACCATGAAATGGGATAGTGGAGGACACTCAAAATGGCATCTCCACTACAGCTGTCAGTTTGCAGGCTTAGACTAAGTGGTCAAGGTTTAATGTTTCCTTATCTAAAGGAAGATGATTAAACAACTATCTGTCTTCATCAGTGAAGAGTCATTTCTGTTAAACACTTGGAGTTCTTCTTTCTGTTTAGGACATGATTTTATTCCAAACAACCTCTTATTTCCTAAGCTGTGCACTAAGTGTGGCAATGTCTTCATATACTATATGTGGCATCTTCTATTTTCCTGAACCCTTGCTTTCATTGTATGTGTAAGGCTCTGTGTCAAGTAGGTTAATAAATAAATAAACCAACCCCCAATTTAATCCAGATTCATGTAATTTAATACTTTTTATCACTGTTGCACATGTTCACAAAAATGTATGGTAATTTTTATGTCAATGCCAGTTATTGAAGGTGCTGTTTTGAAATGCTGTTTAGTGAAATCAGGGAGATTAGGCAAAGTCAGGCAGAGTAAGCAGGTACTTGAAGCTTAATCACCTGAGCAAAGCTAGGCAAACACCAGTGACAAGATTTTGAAACTGTGAGATGATCCAAGTAGCAGTTCAGGCTAAATCAGATAGTAAATATATGCCGTAATTTATGGTTTGAATTTAGAGTAGATGTGTGAGAACTAACTCTCTTATTAAAAGTCACGGTATTTTTCCCATCCGGAATTTTAGCTGAGTGAAGGAACTCATAATTAAATGCTAACATGTTATATAACTTCATAGACATGCTTTTATAACACAAAGTTAGAAACTTTAATAATAATAATAAATAAAATAACCATAATAATCACACTCTGTTTTGAGACAGTCATTGCCCAAGTTATCTTCTGCTTGTTGGAGTTCCCTTGAGACTTTTGTAGTCTGAAGGCAGCAAGGATCTGTATCTCTCAACAACCAGGTCAAAGGAATTTCTTGGGATTCTTCCGTTTTGTTTTGGTTGGGCATTTTTTTTCTCTGGTTTTTCCTGTTGACAGCGAAGAGATTCTTCTCCTTGGCAGGCAAAATCCTACTCTGACTCATTTCCAGTCCTTAAGCATAGAGTGTTTTGTAAGAAAGGCAGGAATGGTTCATACAATGATAAGTATATTCTCCAGTTGTTTTTCAATACTTGTGATTATTCCTGTTTGGGTTTTATGTTGGGAAGAAAACACAGGCAGGCAGTTTTCCTTGGTGTAAGGCACTCCACGGGGCCTGTGCTGTCACTGAGCTTTTTCTTTTCCTAACAAGGACCTGTGGTTTTCCCACTGCTGTGGTCGGGCTGTGGAGGGCTGGTGTAAAGATCCCTTGGAAATCAGGCAAGGATGTTGGGAGCTCCTCACAGCTGGCTCCAGAATGGGATGGAGTAATCATACAGCATATGGGATGATAATTTTGTCACTGTCCTTTTTGCTTAGATGTTTGTTGAAGATGACAGGAAGGAAACTGCTGTGGAGAAAGAATGATCATTAATTACCTTTGGGAGTGAAGACTAAGGAAGAAATGGCAAGCCAGTGTGCAAATTAGATTTCTTGTGAACAGGAGTATTGCCACAAGAAATAGTGGTCTGTAACTTAGATTTAGTCCTCCTCTACTTGTGTTCAGTGTTTTAATTTAAGATGCAGTGATTAAAAAGAAAAAATTAATGAATGTGGTTTTATGTATTGCGAACTGTTGTGAAGTCCACATGATAAAATCTTACGAATAGCTTTTGATATGAATTTTCAGCAGAGACTACAGTTTGAAAAACAAAACATTTAAAATTTTATTTCAAGCTTTATAAAAAGCTTTCAGTTAATGTTCATGAAAGCTGTTGCTAAACAAACAACCCCAAACTTTGGCCATGTCTCCACTGCAGAATGTCTTGCCAGTGAGCATTGTATCAGCCAGGGGTGTGGAAAAAAGGCATACATCCTCGCTGACATCGATATGTTGGCGAAACCCCAGGCGCAGATGCAGCTGTGCTGGCAGAAGAGAACTTTTATCAGCTTAGCTTATGTCGTTTGGGGAGGTGATGCAACTACGCCAGCAGAAAAACTCTTCTCCTGGCGTGTGCTGTCAGCGTAGGAGGCTCTGCCAGCGCAGCCACAGCAGTGAGGCTCTGTACCCCAGCGAGCCTTTTGCAGCAACTGGAAAAGAAAAGCCCCTTGGAACAAAAGAGGGACCTTGATCGTTTTGTTTTTGCAAGAAGTTGTCGATGAGGAACAGAGCGGAAAGAGTGATTCAGATTTTAAAATTAAGTTTTAATGTAAAAAATGTGTTTAAGTCCTATGGCTTTAAGATGTCACTGGCCCCTTTCATGGTTGTCTGTGTGTCCTTGGGTTGCAGGGGTTGAGAGTTGCAATATGCCCAGCATCTGTGTTTTGTAATGCCTTTAAGGCTGGTAAAAGTATGAGTTTCTGTGGAAGTGGTGAAAAACCTTCTGTCTGTAAACTTAGGAAGACAACTGTAATCACACTTACATTCCCATCATATCTGGACGTGACCACTAGCACTAGAACATCTTCATGTTTAAATAAAAGGTTAAATTTCTCAGAATGAAGTGTTTATGTTTTACAGGAAGACAGAGTTGGGATTCCTGCTCTCTGCAAACACACACACACGCATTCATTTTCCTCTCCTGCTTTTGACCAGCTGGTGACAAGATTTTACAAAACTCCTTCTCTTTATAATGTAGAAAAGCAAAGACTTTAAGGGACAACGATTGTAAGAAGTAAATGCAAAACCAAACCAAAGATACTGAAAAACAGAATAAAGGCTCTTAGTCTCCAGTAGCTATTACAAGTTAAGATGATGACTGGTACGTGTATGTTGACTTTTATGGCAGCTGTACAGGCACGCACAAGAGAAGTGCGCGTTTTGAAACCCTGAACAGAGCAGTTGAGCATTTGATCACTGTGTGCATTTTGAGAACTCTGCTGAAGGCTTTTTTGAAGAGAAGAGTAGTACTGTGCCAGACTAAGTTTGATATGAAAATGTTTTGAAAATAGTTGCTCTGTCATTCTGCATTGCTTGTAACCCTAAAAATAATTGCCTGGCATTACTGGAAGCAGAATGGTGTGACAGCCTGACTTGCGCTGCTATAGTTAAAATCCGTCAATGTTTCCATTACAGACTTGGAGGGAGGGTTTAATCTTTTTCCCATTTTAAATCATGCATGGAAGAAATTCTAGATCAGCACTTCAGCTTCCAAGTAAGAATCTTTGGAAGAGATTTGCTGTTTCTAAAACTCTTTATTTAAAACAAACAAACAAAAAAAACCCCCTAGCCCTATGGCAATGAAATATTGATATTTGGGTTTGAAATTTTAAATTATGAGGAATTTTTGTAATTTTCAGCTCAATTCAATTAGGCAACAACAATGTTTCTACATATCAATGTTGATTTTATAGTGAGTGTTGCAGTTTGCTCTTCCGGGCTATTATTGCTCCATAATAAACTTTGCAATATGCCGAATTGGAAGATTTCAAAACTTTCCTAGGGAAACTCAAAAAAGAAACACATAGTTATCATGAAGTATCTGGTATAAGGCATGTCTCTGTACTTTTCTCCCACTCACAATTTCATTCCAATTTCCCGAGGTTATCTCCAAAATAGTTTCACTTGTGTATTAAGGCTGTAGTTTCATGGGTACTTTAAACTGAGGTAGACTGTAATCCCCTCCTCTCTGCCTACACATTCCTGTTCCCTGCCTTGTGACTGCCAAAGCTTTTGCGTAGCACAAAACCACGTGTTGAACCAGATCAGGGAAGATAATTTTTTTTTTTTTGTTCAGGCTGTGGCTACACAACTGTTTGTACTAGTCCAAATAAGAGGGTGGCACCGGGGCGGGAACAAGTGAGTCGACACTGACATCTCACTTTATATTCCACTTCCCCCCGCCCATACTGTGCCTTTCCTCTGCAGTTCACAGGGCAGTTCTTTGCTATGGGCTTCTTGAGCCGTGGAGGCTGAGGTTTTTGCAGGGAAGGGGCTGCATGTGACAGATTCTTTTTGTCAGTGAAAACCTTGTAGTCACAAGGCTTTTACTGGCAACTTTAGCTCTCTAGTTTATTCATTAAAGTATTCTTCTCTTATAGTACCACAGACCTGGTTATAATACTTCTGCACTGTGCCCTGCTATGCTGTTGTTAATGCAAATGATTAAGATGGCTCCTGCTGCAGATTTTCTCTAGGATGATTTCACATTCCATTACGGTCTGTTTTTAAGAACAATAGCATTAAATACCTTGAGGACTACAACAGAAGTGCTTATGTGCTTATCTCCTTTAGTTTTGGGGTTTTTTTTTTTCATTATACAGTATCTTTTTCTTGAGACTTTTGAAACAAAATTCACAAATACTGACATCAGTGGCAATATGAAAATTCTGCCAAGGCATGCAATTTAAATTCTGGTCCTTAAGCTGTCTATGCTCCCTCTGTATCTTTAAAAAAAGTAATAGCAGTTTTGTGTGAAGTACTAAAAGCCAGAAGAGATACAAAAGAGACTCCTAATTATTTTTATATTTCTGGATAGATTAAGGGAATAGCATAATCTTCATGTCCACCACAGTAATTCATTTGACATGTGGAGCAGTCATAGTGATGTAAACTTAATTTATACCTGCTGGAACCTACAGCAACAATATCTCTTAATTTCATTTTCACATCAGATGCCACAAGGAAGAGTGATAAATTCCTATGAGTAATATTCAGCAGAAGTTATATATAATTTGAGCCTGCATCATGCATTGTACACGCTTCAGATGGCAGTTGGGTATATTGGAATGTGCCTGTGAATCCTGTCCCAAACATGGTGTGAAAGCAGGTGTATTAAAAATGTATGAGTAATTATGTACAGATTTAACACGGTGCTCCAAATGGTAAACAGGCCACTGTAGACTGAGATAACGTGCATGCTGTGATTGCTATCTATAGTTTCCTCTAATGCACTTTTTCCTTTGCAGCAGTCCATTGTACCGGCCCACCCAATGGCTCCTCCTAGTCCCAGCACCACCAGCAGTAATAACAACAGCAGTAGCAGCAGCAACTCAGGATGGGATCAATTAAGTAAAACAAACCTTTACATCAGAGCACTGCCTCCAAACACCACTGATCAGGACCTGGTAAAATTATGCCAACCGTAAGTACTATGCTTAAATATAAATTATGATGTCATGCCTTAAAAGCTTACAGTAGGTATACAAAATGAGTGTTTGGACTACAAGGGAATAAAAAGGGATTCATAAATAAAAATCCTCAGCTGTAGTATGATGGCAAGTTTCAATGAAGGAAAAGACTGTGTTTGACACTTTGGGGAAGCAAAGTAAGTTTAAATATAGTGGTGAACAGAAGCAATCCATTGCTTTAGTAAAAGTGAGCCATACTGCTACTTAGTGCTGTTGAAATCACAGATAAATGAAAATAAACATCAAAATGTGAAACATAGTATTAAGAACCTGTGATGGAAGGTCCTGCAATAGAGGGTCTCCTCTGTTCACTACTAACATAATCTCTTGATACAAACTGCTTAAGTAATTGTTCTGCATCACTGTAAATTCCCTTGTGAATTTGAAAGCTTATCCTGGTTTTAGACTAATTTATGTTGGCTGTACATTACTGTACAATTATATTTATAATGAGAAATAACTGATCCATGTAAGAAGCCTTGCTAGTGGCTAGAAGTCCAGGTAGACTTGGCTGAGCAGAAGGTTTTCAGGCAGTGCAGTTAACATGAGATTTTTTTAGCTTGTGTAAGTTTTTTGGTTTTGTTTTCTAATTTTTACAGCAGCACTTGCCTTTTAGTTACTTTCAAATGTGGGTCACGTGTCAAGAGACTGTGCAATTATATTGTTAATACAGTGTTTAAAGTCATCTTTCTTAAATGTTTTACTGAATTTTTAAATCCTTGATTCTTCTGAAATTCACAGTGCACTTCCTGGAATATTTCGAAATCAAAGTACTGAGCTGTATTTTCAGTACTACCTGTAAGAAAACTACTAGATCTCTTTGGAATGAATGGAGAATCATTAAGATTTGTATATAACATTACTATCTGAGATTGTTAGAACTAATTTTATCTTCAATTTTGCAGATAAGTAACTAGGAATAGGCAAAAATACATGCCCAAGATCTCAACGTAAGTCAGCAAAATAACTAGGAAAACTTGTAAGTCTTGGATGCCAGCTTACATTAGGTGCCTTTGGTTTTGGATATTGCAAAAAATCTGGTACCTAATTTATAGAGAAGAATTTTTATTTTTTCTGTTGTAAACAAAACTCGGACTTTCAGGATAACAGTCACATTAATTATATTAATATTATAAGAAAAACAACTTGCTATCAAGTTGTGAAAGAAAAAAAAAATTCTATTTGGCTATTTTCCCAACAGCAAATGAAATCCATGTATTTTACAGAAAAAGGAACAGTTTATCAATCTGTGAAGTGTTTCATTGATAAAGGAAACATCTTTACAGCTTCCCCTGTGGCAATGACCTCGTCACTTGAATTTTAGTTACAAATGCATGTTTCATAGAAGTAGACGTTTCCTTCCCATTTTTGTCTTTTGAACTGATGAAGAAACCTTGGCCCGCGCACTAATTTTATGTTAGGACACAGTTGTGAGGTTATTTTGCACTGGAGCTGCCCGGTAACTACTATTTGTGCAGTGGTTACTATAGCTCCTTAACCTCTTTCTGAAGACGTTTTGGCTTGCAGATGTCATTGATGCATGAACATCCTAGAAAAAATAGGTTCAATACTTTGCTGTAACTGATCCTTTTCCTCCTGCACGGCCAAAGATTCCGATTTTGTTTTTCAATATTTGTAGTTGAATCAACATGAATTTTGCAAATAAAGAAAAGGCAAGAACTGCAGCCATGAAGTTATTAAATAAATTCTGAAGTGAATTTACAGATTTGGAAGGTTGTGGCTTTTCTTCCTGTGAGATATTTCTCTCCTAAACGTCTTACTTGAGAGGAAAGGAGGCCCTGTCTCAAAATTATCCATTTCTGCTGAGAAACCAAGTGAGATGTCCAGAAATTTTAGATTTGGAACATCTTTCAAAAAATCTGGGTAACCTATTAAGAGTCTTATACTTCTCTGCCAATATAGCCCCTTAGCAACTGATTTTATGCTGCAGTAAGATAGAAATGACAACACTCTCTCCTTGTTTACAGGAGCTCAGTAATCCACTTTTATAGACTATGGAAAGTTTCAGATGCAAAATTTTTCCTTCCTACAAATCTGTCTAAACTTATAGGATATAGAGGGCAAGATATTTTTGAAAGCTGCTGTGTTGGTTGTTTAAGCTGAAGCAATACAAAATAAATGGAGAATAAAATCTTGGACACACGGAAGTCAATGAAGCAACTGCTGTTTACTCCAGATCTCTGAAATATTTTCATTAGCTCTTTCAAAATGTCTGAGATTTTACTGGGGGTGGATGTACAGAAAAAGGTCACTGGCTTTTGTTTGATATCTTTTGGCTGTTGTCAGACAAGACAGAAAAACACCTGTGGGTTGAGGAAATAATGGTTGAAAAACGTCATTGTCACTACAAATGCCATAAACATCCCATCTGTGTAGATTTTCCCTCTGATCATCATGGACTTTTATCATATACTCTACTGAAAAGTTATTTTCAGTGGTGGCTATTGTAGAGAGATATTGCTTTCAATATATTCCCTCAGAATACAAATTGGAAGAATCTACAGAGTTCTTGTGTGTGGGTCTGGTTATACAGTGACTTTGCTTTAGTTAATATGCTTACTTTAGTTCTTGTTCACAACAGCTAGCAGTGCTAATTTGGGCCATGTTTTTATTTTGATTAATTATTTTTGGTGAATTGCTAGAGAAACCTCTTATCAAAGTATAGAAGTGTCGGGCTTGCTTTCCTGTTGTAGCCCAGCTGTGCAGTATTTACAAACACAATCAACAAATGTTCACCAGTTTTGTGGAAAAGTGCTTTCCTGGCAAGAGCACCATTTGTACTCTTGCATATATGTCTCACAAATCTGGTCTCCACCTTCATCTGCTTGGTTCTTTCTAGTGATGTAATAGGTGAAGCTTTCTACTCTTTTCCAAGATGAAAAGTGAATATTATAATTTTGTTGTGAAGGCTTTCCTAGCAGTACAACTATTTTCAGACAGTATTACTGGCTTTTGTGTGGGAAATAAAGCTGCCACATTTCTAAATAGTTCATTCAAACTCAAGCCTGCTCCTCCGGTTCTGCACTGGGAAAACAAATTTCTTCATATCAGTTGTGCCAGAGGCAGAAGTGTGAGGAAGAGTAAGGTAGGTATTACGTTTGTCACAAGAATGTCGTAAGAGCCAACCCAGAACCAGAGTCCAGAGTGTCGGCGGGACACCATGTGAGTCAGTCCTGGCCACACAAGCTTTCCATTAGGTATGTAAGGGTAGGCAAAGCAATTGATGCAGTGGCCCACAAATATTCTTTTCTGTGGGAGGCTAGACAGGAGCAATCAGGTAAATAGAAGGACAAGAGCAGAGGAAAGTAGAAATCAGAGTAAGGAGCTGGTGAGCATGATGTGGGGAAGCCTACAGGAGGCTGCCTGACTCTGCTGTGCAGTTTCTTTTTCCCAGACTGGGTAGTGCCATTGCATGAGATCTGCTGTACTGAGCAAACCTTTGCCATGGAGGTGTTGTTGCTGGAGCAGTAGCAGCCTCAGCCATGCTTAGTTGTACTCTCTTCCCCTGGCATGACTATCAATACTTGCTTGATGTGCCTCCTTCAGCTGTTGTGTTGGATTTATGAATACATTATTTAGGCTTTAATTGTACTTTTATTCACTGACTGTTAGACAGGATCCTGCTAGCCCATCCTTTGGGGTGCTCCCTTCCAGGCTGTTTGCTTGAACCGTGACGCTTGTATCAAGCTGTTTGTAGTCTATGTAGTATTTTTGAGATCTGTTTTTGCTCTGGACAATTTCACGTAGGCTTTCCCCCTTAAATTATCACTGTGTGGTTATAATGCTGATTTTTAATAGGATTACAATTAGGAAAGCAGCTGGTTTAAGGTAACAAAGTTAGTGATATAATTACCACGACAGACCATTGTTCCGTGCCAGGATGGTCAGAATACAAAAACAGAACCTTGTAGCGGCTGCTTTTGCTTATGTATGTTGGGAAATGGGATATCTTGTTGAAAGAGTATTTTAAGGATTCTTTCTTAAATATTCGGCATCATGAACACAAGCATAGCTAAAATGAATGGCAGGCTAATAGTTGTTTTGAAACATTTGAGCCAGACGTGCTATACAGCTTTGTTTCCACAGCATGGGAACTTTTCTTTTTTTTTATAGCTACATACTCTAATGTTTCCCTGTTTTGAGACAAGAGCACTCAAAAATTGTTTCAATTCCCTGCTCTTAATAAAAGACATATTTTCATTAAGTCATGTGACATCATTAGCATATTAATATTTCCATGTTCTTTGCTTGCCATATAATTGTGACCTCTCCCTGTGCTGCCATTTCCCGTCTCCTTCAAACACACTCAGGACTGAGAAGTGGTGAACTGGAGCTCGAACATTTACTGTAGCAGGGAGCTGTCATTGCTGCAGTCAGTTAAGAGCAAGAAATCTGCTAATTTTACTCAGTATACCTCATTAGAAAAAGGGCATGTCTGGACATTAGGAAATAGTCTGACCGTCTTCTGCATGTAACTTTTTGGGAGAATGGTCTGGGCAGGTCACTGCTGCTTATTTCAGTCTAAGGAAATGTCTGTAGCATGTGAATACAACCCATTTAAATAGAAGGTGTGGGTAAGGGAAAGTGGAATGGAAAATTTCAAAGCTAACTTCTCAAATTTTTTTTAGAATTATTTTGTCTTTATTTCTTTGTCCTTTATTCTCCATTTTTCTTGCATTTTTCTTTCATGGTTTGTCAGCTGCAGTGAAATATAATTATGTGGAATATGATTTCATGTCATATAATTGTGATGCAACATTGTCTCAGAAACTGTTCCCTTTGAGGTCAGTATTAATACTTGATCATATTAGAGCAGGAGCCTATCTGTTGTTTTACTTTATTAGAGTGGAAAGAAGTCCTCTACAAATTAGCTCTTTTACAGGTTTATATATGCATTTTTAAAAATAGTATTACTGCATACGTCTCTGAATAA